ATTTCTATTACTGAGTCATAAATATTTAAGGACTCACATCCAAACCATCACACAGAAAAATTCTATACTGGACACTTCAAGTGCTTCTGTCTTTGAGTAAATACTGTTAGTGCTATTATCTAAATCATAGAAAAATAGCCCACATTTCAAATGCTGAAAATGGGACAAATTAAATGTTGGTCAGACAGCATGATATGAATCTCCCTCCCCCGGAATCTCCCATTTCTGCTTTTTGCCTGGTAATGGAGAGCAACACAATTCAGGCAAATCCTTCTTGCTTTTGGAATAAAGCAAGGCATGTGTGAGAACTTTTTCTTATAGGCCTACAATCTTATATGTCCGTGGCCTCTGAATTATTAATGGGGGAAAGGAGAGAACAAATAACGGAGAGAGGGTTCTTGGCAGACACTGTTTGAAGCTCACGGTGTTCCAGAACATTGAACTCATCCACTTCACCAGCCAGGAGCTACCTGATTCTTACTCTAGGTTTCTCCTCCTATTTTGATCTTATCCAGCATCTGGCTGGGTGATGGCCCGTGATGCAAGACAGAGATCTTCTCTTTATTCCATTAAACTCTGGGATCTGGTTATGACACCACGCCTCATCTGTTTTCATCTACAAATGATCCTATTAGCTGGCTAAGTGTTCCCTGCAGAGCACAGACTTGTGTGAGGAAGAGAGACAGGAACAAAGTCAAGATTTGATTCCTCTCTGAAGGTGTTGGGTACTTCTGTTCTCCTGGGGTCTGGACCCCCGTGTCAGCTGTCACTCAATGACACGCAGACCACACAACATCTCAGAGGAGACACAAGCCTTTCTATACTCAGATTGAATTTTCTAGACTCTAAGGTTAAATGGGCAAAAGACCTACTGGTTTAGCATTTACGATGAAGCTCAGGTAAAGGACTGAGCCAGTGGCCTCTTGAGGACTCACAGGGCGGAGCGGGAGGGAGGCCTGGTGAGTGGGACCCAAGATCCCATCATTCCAGCTCCGAGTCCTTGCATTTTCTGCCCGGGACACGGTGTGCTCTGGTGAACTGCTTTTCTCCTTTACTTTTGGAAAGAGGTTCCTAATTTAAGCAGCTGAGTCCAAGTTCTTAGGAGTTTTAAACAAAGGCATTTTCAAATAAGTTCTTAAACAACGTCTGGGATTTGCTTCAAAATAATCCAGGAGGGGGAGAATAAAGGGTGATGGCACGTTCTCCACTTTGGTGTGTGCTTGAAATTTTCCACTGTAAGAGTTTTTTTTTTTTTTCAAGTGAGCCAGAGAGCCAATGATCCAGCAACTTGCTAGTTATTCGTTTCGACCTTTACCTTCACCTCAACCTCTTCTTAAATACTGTTAACACAGAATGCCATCTGACGCCATTTTCTCTCTCCACGTCTGCCCATCTTAAGTATCAGCAAACTGCAGACTGACCTGCCTACGGACAGCGAGACCAGGGAAGGCTAGATGAGGAGGGAGGTGCAGCCTCAGCCTCATGGGGCGGAGGTGAGCAGTATACACCGCTGGCAGGCTTCACCAGCTCTGGTGCCGGGCAGGAAATCAGCACCCCCACATCTCATTGATAAGAATGTTCTAGAATGCCCACTGCAGAGTGTTGCATCCTCTGGTGGCTGCTATGCTTTTCCTTAGTTCTTGTGGTTGGAATTAATGAAGATCGATCATGAGACACAGGTGTGGAGGGAGCTGTGGAGGTGCATCGGCTGCTTTCTTCTGCAGGGCCCTTCCGTCGGCCCTCAGACCCTCTGGATGTGCAGAGCTGGAAGCAGGGGTCTCGCCAAGAGGGGCTGCTCGGACATCGTCCGCTTTGAAGAGCTTCTTCTCAACTCTGCACTGAGGCCTGCACCCCGGCGGCCCTTCACCCCGAGCCTGTCTTAGCTGTACCCCACAACTCTCAAATCCGAGGACACTGAACTCGATCCCAATCCTGAGTCTTTGTTCTGGACATTTTCTTCTAAGAAATCTGATAACTGACCAAACATCCCCCTCGATAGGAGAATTCTAGAGATAGGGAAATTTGGAGGCTTGATGTAAATCTTTTTGAAACCTATCACCAACCTTAAAACGTAACCTAGAAGCTGACCTCGTGGAGATGAAATAAGAGTTCCTTTTAAAACAAGAATCAAAAGAGAAGAAAGAGCTGGCGTTTTTTTTTTCCCATCCCTGCTCTCAGTTAACTCAGGCTAAAGAGGATTTCTTGGCATGAAGCTGCCTGATTCTGTTCGCCCTAAGTAATGAGGTGAGAAGGTAAAAAGAGATCTATTTGAGGAGAAGCTAATCGAGCAAGTTGCCTTCTCAAAAGAAAAATTAAAACAGCCAGGATTTTGTAGAAGCACAATCTAACAGGGACTTCTGAACACGGACAGGGCCCTGAAAGTACCTCTTCCTCTGCTTGAGCGAGAGATCTGATTTGGGTTTCTTCTCACTCGTAACCTCCCAGCAAGAGGAAAATTGAAGGATTGTTTCATTTTTGCCAAATGGCTAAAAGAAAGCAATTCTCTCCTATCCTATAATTATACTCAGAGCTCCAGCCAAGGCAATTTAGACGACAAGGTACATTTCCTTGTTTGGGGTTCATTCAAGCCTCTCCCCGCTTCCCAGAGAACACCTGGAAAGCGGAGCACGACCTGGCCGGACAGCAGGCCTTCGGTTATATAAACGGCATCACGTCATCTAAAAGCACAAGCAGGAAACCTCCCGGGAGAGGCTTCCAGGGTCCCACCCAGGTCCCCTTTACAGCACAAGTGCTCTGGGGCTGAATGCTTGGGAGGATTGGGTGCCTACAGTGAGTGGGAAGGGTCCTGGTCACGGGAGACCCTCACCTGCAAGGCTAGACTCCCCCGCTGCAGGCAGCGAACCCTAAAGCCGTAAGTCCTAAGGTCCACTTGCCTCCGGGCAGGATTCACTCCCTGGCACAGTTCATGTCCAGAATTCTCTATGGGATGGAGCTGACGCTGGTCTCCAGCTAAAACCACGTCCTGGCTCAGCTCCTTCTGCCCCATAACTTCCCTCAGGTTCCCTCAGTAAAGCCCTCCACAAAATGCCCATCTCAGGTTCTGCCTCCCAGGAACTGGCCTGTGCGTCTCTAAGACGCCTATGAGAGCAAATTTAAACAGTTTTTACTACTTTTCACCCACTGTCTTTCAATGTCTAGCATCTAGCCAACTTCACGTGTTGAGACCCACAAGCATAGATACTAACTCACCTTAGGCTTACACGTAGGAGGTGGGCTGGTGAACCTGCCTGAATCAGACACCCCAAGATTCCCAGGATGGGGCTCCTCAAGGTGCCCACTCTCCCCTGCAGAGGATTTTGAGCTAAGAGCAATGAAATTGCTGGAGAAGGAGAAGCTTCCATCCTGGCCTAACTCCTCCCTAACAGAAGAGACGATCACGTCCTAAATTCCTGTGCCTTCCCTATCCAGAAGCAATCACTGCTCTCCCTTTTATGACCCAGAGGAGAGTGATGTGGGAGTCTCATGTGTGGGAGAGCTGTGTTTATCAGTGAGCATGACATTCCTTTACTCTTGGAGTAAGGATGAGGTAGCTAATGCCTTCTTGACTGTCACAGAGAGTCCGGCCCCCTCCCTGACGCCCCAGCCCCTAAAAGCAGATATCCCTGGTCAGCTCCGTAATTCTCTAGAACTTACAGAATTCTCCACATGTATGTCATTAAGTGTTGCCCTTTCCCCTACTAATCTGCCTGATGTTAATTTGTTTGTCTGTCCAGCCTTAGAAGAAGCCAGATAGGGTTGGGAAATTTCCCTCATGTGCCCCGACTGGAATCTTTGGTAACTCACACTTCTTATTTGGGCATCTGACTTAATAGAGAAATAGGCTTCAACAGGCATTCAAGATGGCGAGACCCATGTCCATCTGCATCATCACTCACGGAGACCACTGTTCGCCCTATTCCAGCAAGGTTGCTTTCCCTAACACTTTGCAGCGCTGCGGGAAGCAAGCTGGCTCTGTTTTAATTACTGTTTGATATCTGATATTCCTGAAATCCAATTCACAGAACTAAAAATAAAAACCAACTCGGGTTAAAGTTCAGAGGCGCACTGGCCACATGATGCTCCAAGGTCAAGTCACCCACCCCTGAATGGAAACCACTGTTTGCCTTTGTTGCAAGAATTAAAAACACAAAACTGATCAGGGAGAGTCAGAGTTTCCGAGGAAAACAAAGGCTGGGTCTTCTGTTCCCACTGTTGACCTGCAAAGCCCTTCTCTTGGACTAACTCAGAGGCTAGAGAGGGTCTGGGACAGGAGCAAGAGGGAAGGAGGGTCTTTTAAAGGGGCTCAGTGCATCACCCCAGAGTTCTTTTTCCGCAGAAGTGGGGTCTGCTCTTGCTGGTGCTTTCCTACAACATCTGGGGTCTGGGTGGCCTTCAAGGGTTGGATGAAAGGCAGCACTGGCTGCCCCTCCTTGCATGGGCAGACTGATGGCAGCTCCCTGGCTGGCCTCCCCGACCTGCCTTGGCAAGTGGGGAACTTCCTTGCTGACAGTGTTTAGTGATGCCCCATAGTTTCTTGAAAGCATTGTCTTCTGCGTTTCAAATGTTTGCCCTAATGACGCTGTGAAGTAAAAAGGTGGGATGTCCTTGGTGACAAAGCATCATCCCACAGGGACGGGCTCTAAGGGCCCTGGCTGAGGTGTTCATGAGATACACACCCAGCTCCCCATCCCAGCGGGGCTGTCCATTCACACTTCCCAGCCGAGAAACTTCTGCACAAAGGGTAATCATAATAGTAATACCCACTTCACAAAATTACTGTAAAGAGCAAAACACAAAAACATTGTGGACAACTACCCAGCTACATCATCCCGTCACCTCCCTCCAGGCGTGTGCTTCCATGCTGTTTCAAGCGACCAAAGTTCTAGTACAAAATGGCGGCAAAGCGAGGGACTCCTTTGAACCTAGTAGGAGAAAGCAGCTTGGGGAGCACTGTGCCCACACTGAGGGTGCTGTGAGGGGACCGCCAAAAGGTGACCCACCTGGTGGTCGTCCGGATGGTGTTTTCTTTTGTGTGATTGTGCTCTTTGCTCACTTTTTCTGTGGGAGAGAGAAGAAACAGCTCTTAGGTAGGGTTCACCCAACCTGAGAAGTTAAAGCTGAAGCAGAAATACCCTCAACATTTCTCTTTTCCTTCAGTGGTTTTCTTTTGGTTTCTTTGTTAAACCCTTAAACCAATCCCCTGTCCTACTAGTAAGGAGGAGACCATCATCAGAAGCCTATAACAGCACCCACAAAAATACCTTATTCAAAGCCTGTCAAGGGAAACAGCTACTCACACACTGCAAGCGTGTTCCCCTGTGATCAGGCCCTGGTGATGTGAACGTACCCTAAATCTTTCTGGGGCTCCCACCCCACCCCCGGTCTAGCAGGCAAGACAGAAAAGCCATCTGTGGAGACTGAGAACAGTTTCCACCCCGTAGCCTACGCGGGGATCTGCTGCCTGAAGGTAAACCAGCCTTCAGCCCACACTAATGACCAAGTTGCCGAATAAAGAAGATTTAACAATGGGATCCAGGCCTGGCATCTGGAAGGTGCATCCTTTAAAAAGGAAGACATTAAATCCTGCCCTGGCTTCCTGCAGAATCAGCCTATCTTTAGGCTGGGACAACTTAGAATTACCCACCCCTCCAGTCAAGACTAATTACATTCTTAATGACTCATTGTTCCTACCTATATAAACTAAATCCAAACTCCTGTTTGTTCAGACAGTCCTCAGAGTAAAATCTGTGGGACTGTGTCCTGGGTTCAAATCTTCCCAAAGATGCTCTTTGTCCACCATTGAGATTTTATTTCCGGTGAACAGGACACATGTGCAGACACACACAGTTAAGAGCATAAAGGCAGCTATTTCTACTCTATCTCTGCCCAGCTGAAAATTTCTGCTTTCCTCTGATTCAGCATGAAAACTGCAGTTGTTGCAAGTGTTCCGCTTCTGACTTTGATGACAACCTTTAAGCTTTGAGTATTGTCAGGCCCCTTTGTGAGAGGGGATACAAAACAGCCGGGGACCTCTGGGTGCCAGCGTCATCGAGCGCTTATTCCGATAAATGTCACAAGAGACAAAAAAATATCATGAGACCAGAAGAGGTAACCCTCCCTCCCTCTGTCTGGAGGTCCATCTCTACCAGCTGTCAGGAATTATTTAATTAGTTTTCAAGAACACAAAAGTCGAACTTGGACCTCCTCAGTCCAGTTCAAATGTGAGGCCTAGCCCTGCCCGTCACAGCTCTCAATGGCTTCTTTTGAGTGTCTGAGAAAATCCAGCCAACTCGAAAGGTTTCAGATTTCAACAGCAGGGCCCAAAAAAAAAAAAAAAAAAAAAAAAAAAAAATCCTAATCTTAGGGATTTTTGGAAAAAGTAAAATAAAGATTCACACCCCCTGTCCTGCACTTTGTAACACTAGTCCGACTGTGTGCACATTTTTGGGGCAATTCTTTCCCGCCCGCTGGACAGGGACAATGAGGCCAAATTTGAATTCACAGGATGTATTCATTCAGAGAGCAGGAAATCGGGGCTAAAAGACTTGCTTGAGGTCACCCCGCAGTCAGTGGCAGCGCCAGGGTGAGAACCCCCAGACGCAGAGTTTGTAGCTGATAGTCGACCATGATAACGGATAATGTGCTGTTAGAGAGACAGAGGCTTCTGCAAAGAACCACAGTGTCCTCGCTCTTGCACATTGGAACTGCTGAATCATTTTTTTAAACTTACATTGTTTTTAGATAGGCTTTCAATCTGGGGGCCGGGGACAGGGAAGCATCTGGCATGTTTTGGAGCTTGCGAAGATCTATGTAACCTATTCAATTGACTGAATTAACTATTTTGCTGGCCACAAATACATCCCTTGTTTGGGAACCCAGAAGCCGACATTTTGAGCACCAAGGGATAGTTTCCCCGCCGTGGGTAAGTCACCGGGTCCACCAGAGGTGGGCGTCTTGCATGGTGTGGGGTGGGAAGGGCGAGTTAGTGAATACTTACATAAACAGGCATTTAAACATCATTTGTTATCCATACAAAACAGAGTTTATCAAATATTTGTCACAAACTTGACTGATGCATGAGCTTCGCTATGTAGGCCAAAGCTGGGGTACGGACAAGAATTGTGCATTTCTCTACAAATCTCACATGCATGTCCATCCCCCATCTCAACTATGGTCAAATAGCAACAGCATTTCAGTGCACTGAAACTAACAGTCCTCAGGGCTGAGGAGCTTAGGGGAACACATAGGTTCCAGGACAGAACTTGATTAGAACTTGATTCTATCAAGACCCTTCTCTGAGCTGTGATTGCTCCCCTTTTGAATGCCAAGTACTCAGAGTGGCAAAAGCTGGTTTAGAGAAAATGTCCTACTAGGTTAGAGATGGAAAGAGTCCTCATACTTTTATCTTTTGCTTTTCCCTTGGCATGATTTTTTTTTTTTTTTTGGGCAAGATATAGTAAAATCCCATTAATTCAGACCACACGAATTTGGAACTCACAATAATTCAGTCACTGTTGGAGTAAACCAAAGTTTATCTTTTGCACATTAGAAAAAAGGGAGGGGCTGTTAATCAGATCAAATGGCTCAACAAAATCAGAGGTGAGATGTTTAGCCCAGCAAACAGGGATCATTTGCAAGGAATTGAATAGAGTTCTAATTTCAAATGATTCTTAACTGTTTATTAAAGAAAGTTTGGCAGGCGTTCCACTTGGCAACATCTCACTAACTGTTAGTCTGAAGTGTCAGTCTGCATGTTAAAGTAACAAAATAGATTCCTGTCTATGAAAATCCTATAATGCGGGCGTTTTTACTTGGTTGAAGGGATTCTCCTTCCAAGCCTTCCAAATTATTGGCATTTTCTCATGGAGACGTACCTGACAGTTGAAAGAGGAGCTCAGAAGCCATCTTCACAGAGATGTCTTGACTGAAGAGGTTCCTCTCTGGGGGCACTCTGCCCTCTGGCATCTTCTGCAAGGGTTCGGTTTTCTCTCTCCCGATTAAAGTGCTGTAGCCCACATTCCGGCTGGGTGACATGGAGACATGTGAGTCCTGCATGTCGACCTCCATGGGCTCCTCTTTAATCTTCACCATCTGAGTCTCCTTGTAGCTCTCCGCTGCGAGCAGGGCAGGGAAGGGAAACAAAAACACAGGTTTCTTAATTTGGAAGCAAACCCACTTTCCAATCACAAAGACAATGGGGAGACTCGTGTCAAGGAGCAGGTTAGAAGAGGGTCTGACCTATCTGGTTGCCAGAAGATGCCCAGAAGAAATAAGTGGCTTGCCCAACGTCACGCCACTGACGGCAAAGCTGGTGAGGTTTCTGGACCAGGGTCTCCTGACCACTCAGTCTCCTGACCACTCAGACTCAACCTTCCCTCTCTACCACGCTGCTTCTAGAACTTACAGAAAACATAATGGCTATGTGCCCTTGTGTTATAACTTGCTCAATTTCAGTGAATCAAATCAGAGCAAGCACATTAATATTAAGATTTTCCCCCCTCTAATTTCAAAGCTCCAGTCAAATTTTTTCTTTCCCTTGTAGGGACCTAAATGAATAAAGGGTAAATAGGGTAGCTTCAACTGGGATATTTACACCTTGCTGGGAGTTAGTAATTCTCCAGGCCACCTAGGAAGTTAATTGCAGGCTTAGGATTAACATTTAAAAAAAGAGGAATCTCACAGGTTATAATAAGGGTTCAATTCACTGACTGTTCTTGCTTTAGGTGCGGCTTTGAGATGTTCAGTATTTATTCTGAAATATATGTCCACTCTGCAAGGCTGGAGTGTCTTTATATGTGGGTGTTTGTCAATGATGATAGAACATCACTGAAATGAGGTGGACAATCAGCCCTGCATTAATTTGGGTCAATTTAAAATAAAGCCATATTTTCAAATCAATAAGCATTTATTTATTAGTAACTACTATGTATTCAGCATCCTGGAAAGCAAAAAAGAAAGAGGATGGATGGATGGATGGATGGATGGATGGATGGGTGGACAGACAGTTAAAGACAATACAATAGTGAGTTGAATGGTGGTTGCCAAAAAGATATGTTAATGTCCTAACCCCAGGAACACATAAATGGCACTGCAGTTGGAAAAAGACATTTGCAGATATGATAACGTTAAGGATCTCAAGATGCACTAATCCTGGATTATCCAGGTAGGTCCTAAATCCAATGACAAGTATCCTTATAAAAGTCAGAAGAGGACAAGTCGAAGACACAGTGGAGAGGTCATGTGAAGACAGAGAAAATACTACAGTCTGAATGTTTGCACCTCCCTCCCCCAAATCAATATGCTGAAACCTGGTCTCCAATGTGATATTAGGACATGGGGTCCTTGGGAGGTGATGAGGCTGTGAGGGTGGGGCCCTCATGAATGGAATTGGTGACCTTATACAAAGACCCTAGAAAGCACCCTCGCTGCGTCATCAGATGAGGACACAGGAAGCAGAACCAGACACCAAAGATTCCAGCCTCTTGATATGGGACATCCCAGCCCAGCATTGTAAGCAATAAATTTCTGTTGTTTATAAGTCCCCCTGTCTGCGGCATTCTGGTATAATAGCTTGAACTGACCCAGACAGAGAGGGGCTGTTGTTGGACACCCTTAAGCCAAGGATGGCCTGGAGCCACCCGAAACTGAAAGAGGTAAGGAAAGATTCTCCCCTTGAACTTCAGATTTCAGATTTCTGGCCCCAGACCATGAGAGAATGTTTCTATTGCTTTACATCACCAAGTTTATGGCGATTTTACTATGGAAGGACTGATGGACAGACAGATGGAGGGACGGATGAATGGCAGACAGATGAGGTTAAGAAACCCACAAAGCAGGGGCGATCTGGACCCAGATAGTGCTTTGTGGCGGGAAGCTGTGCTGTGCATTATAGGACATTTAGCAACAGCTAGAGGGTCTCGAGGAGAGACCAGAGGGAGAGCTCACTGCTGAAAGCTGGGTGGCCCTAGAAATCTGCACTTTCCTGGCAAATTATGAAGCAGGTAAATGTCAATTACTGATTTGCAGTAAAGAAGATAGTGAGCATTTTTAATTAAATTATTAAAATTAATAAGGTGCTACCGATAAGATCTTATGTAAGAACTACACTCATTATTCTTTTTTCCTTCCTGACATATTACACATGCTTCTCAGGAAAATGACTTGCTTTTTGTCAGCAACTAAACTGCAGACAACTGTTGTATTTAATTGCGATCCCTTCCCCCGCCCCCTAATCCTGCCAAGCTGGATTTTCCCCCCCTTTGCATGTCTGTGAAGCTCATAAACCAAATTCATTGATTCAATTATGCTAAAAAGAAAGAAGAGAATAGCAAGCTTTCCAAGTTCGGTGCTTAGCTTCTCTGCTTTTGCTTCCCGCCCATTTGATTCTTTCTGGGGTACTGACACCCCACCCGCAGCCCCCTTAGGGATTTGGGGACCTGACAGTGAGTGGTCCTGATTTCTAGCCAGATCATCCTAAGGTGCAGTCACAGCATAATTTCCTCCCTGGAATCCCTCAAGAGATTTAATATTTGGGGTGTTGACAGTGTGGGCAGTGGCACAGGGGCATAAAGATGTGCCTGAGCCCCACGGAACATTCCAAGGCCTGAAGACAAATGCAAAGGAATGCTAGACAGGGGTTCATTTCGTTCAAAAATGAAAATGTCCACAATATCAAGAACATAGCTAGAACGCAGCTCTGGTTATATCTCTCCCACCCCCATTTCCCTAGCTCTGTCTCTCGATTAAAAACCACCTGGCTATTTGCACCACTAAATTTAATGAAATTAGCTTTTAAAAGCCACTTGGGATAATTTCAAGTATGATTTGCATGAAGTGCTTTCTGCCCTTTCTTAGGACAACTCTTGATCTTTCAAAAATACACTAAATACTGACCACTGAGAAAATCCTGGGCACACTTCAAATGCCCGAGAGCGTCCAGGCTCATGGAGGGCTTCAAGTTGACATCTTAGTGGGTGAGACATAATACTCTGTTTTGACAGTTCTTGCTCTTCTACCCAAGAGCACAGATGATAAGTGTTTTCTTGTCTTTTTTTCTTTAAGCAGGTTTTCTCAGCCTTAGCACTGCAGGCCCTTGGAGCCAGATGCCACTCTGCATAGGAGGCTGTGCTGTGCATTCTAAAACATTCAACGACATCTCTGGTCTACAGAACACCAGATACACCATGAGCTCCATCCCCCTAGTTGTGACAACCACACATAACTCCAGACACGGCCAGTGTCCTCTGGGAGCCAAAAGCATCCCAATCGGAAACCACAGCAGTCAAGTTTTTGCGGCTCTCTTGTTATCACTCGCCCAAAGAGCTCCTCTTAAGTTCTTGCCTGGACTCCTCCTGCATATTCGCCGCCCTCTCTGCCAGGTGCCCAGACAGGCTGACGAGGACGGAGGCAGGCAGACTTAGGAACAGTTCCGGCCCTAGAGATCCCACTCAGCCCGGGCCAGCTCCCTCCTTTGCCCGGGGCGTCCTAAGGAAACAATGGTTGAATTAATCATTTCTCTCTTAGCTGTGAGTCCACATCCAGGAACAAGTCTACACAACCCGGTGGAGGATTTTCCTCATTCCCATCATTTTCCCCTCCACACACCTTGTGGATCTTTTTAGACTCTCTTCATAAATAAAATAATAAGGTGAATATTAATTTCACCCTAGGTGGCCTATTTCCACTGTTAAGGAAGAAACTGGCACCAGGGAAAGATGAGGGATGGGCTAACACTCTGCCTGGAGTGGCCAGCAGGTGACTGCTCACTGCCACGCTTACTTGTATTATGGGACTTTTCTATGATAAATATGACAGTTCATCAATTGTCTAAATTTTAAAAAAGAGAAACGAGGGTTCCGTGGTGGCGCAAGGGGTGAAGACGCAACCTATGAAGCTGTCCGCAGCCTCTGCAGCACGAGTTCGATCCCCAGCCAGGGAGCAACCCACATGGCGCAGCAGATCTCTCCTGTCTAGCCTGCTGCTCCCCTCAGCAGTGTACTTCGGTCCTTCTGCCTGTTCTGCTCCCCGCTCTGTCTCTGGTGAATGCTCTCAACCCCCTCTGGCCTGTACCCCAGTTCTTTAAGCATAAATAAATAAATGTTTTTAAAAAAAGAGAAACAATTATACACAATCATTAAAAAGTGATTTCCTTTTGGATATGTTTAGGACCTGTGTGTGCCTCCCAGAGCCATTTGGGACTCGAGTCAATCCTATTCAAATCCTGCCTGGCGAGAGAGAGGGACGAGGCAGAGACTGCAACGCTACTGTTTTTTCTACCTTCAAAACACAGTGCGTTCCAGCCGTCGTGCCGAGTCACGGCATTCATCCTCACTCGGTCATCCTACGACCCTTTTTTAATATCTGCGATGCACTAAGCACTGTGACAGATGATACTGGGGACACAGGTCGGTAAGACGAGGTTCTTGCCCTCAAGCAGTTTAAATCTAGATGAGTGATTGGACAAGTATAAACGGCCTCTCAGACAAGCAATAAAAAGAAAGTACAGGTGGGAAGAGAAGTCAAGGAAGAGGGTGCAGGAAGCACAAAGGAGTCCTTGTTCCCCACCTGGGGTGTCCAGGGACGCTGCTTCGCGGCAGGCAGCAGACTCGGAGGGCAGGCACAGAAAGGCAAGTCTGGGTTTGAATTCCATTGTCCTGAAACCTGCCCGGTGGGTCTTCCTGGGTCCCTGGTGGAAACCCAGCAGGCCCGTAACTTGATCGGGTTCAGATACTACAAAGCCTAATAACGCCTGGAAACAGCCACCTGGTCTTGCTCCAGAAGCCAGAATCCAACTCAAGCTTCGCTTCCTTTGAAAAGCTCAAGCTTCCTTCTCCCCGTGAAGTTAACTGGGAGCCGGCTGTGGGCCTGCAGGGAAGGAGGTGCTTGGCTCTCTCTCCCTTCCCGTGGCCTTCACCCCAACACACTATCCTCCCAGGGCCTTGAGGAGGCAGGAAGGTGGGGCCACCGGGACAGAGAGGTCTCCAGCCCTGGGCCTGGCTGGTGTTAAGCTCTAGGCCAGCAGATGGTTCTCGCGTGAGCACTGGGGTCTTCAGGGACCTTTAGCTTCGAGGTGATGTTTCCCCGCAGGCCCCCTCTAGCCAGAGGCAGCGCCGGG